TTTGTGACAAGACTTTTGGGCGTGATTCATACTTGGGACTACATACTATGTTCACAGTGAAGAGTAACCATGCAAGTGTAATGAGTGTGGCAAAGCCTTTAGTAGGCAGTCAACACTTATTCACCATCAAACAATCCATGGTATAGGAAAACTTTTCTAATGTAACAATTGTCACAAAGCCTTCAGTAACTCTACAACCATTGCAAATCACTGGAGACTCCATAATGAAGACAGATCTTACAAGTGTAATAAATGTGGCCAATTTTTCAGACATCGTTTATACCTTGCAGTTCATTGGCGAACTTGAGAGGAACCTCACAAATATGATTGTGTCAAGGTCTTCAGTCAAGCTTCATCTTATGCAAAACATAGGAGAATTCATAGAAAAGAGGAACATCACAAGTGTGATAATTATGGCAAAGTTTTTACTTCACATTCACACCTTATTAGACATCAGAGAATCCATACTGGACAGAACTATTAGAAATTTCATAAGTGTGGCAAGATCTTCAGTATGAGGTCACTCCTTGCAGAACATCAGAAATTTCATTTTTGAGATAATTGTTCCAAATTCAATAAGTATAGCAAGCCATCAAGCATTAATTGACATTAGAGTCAATGCAGCATTGACTTGATTTTGAGTTGACTTAACATTGAGTTCAAGCATTAATTGACTTTAAAGTGTTTATATTAAGAGGATTGGGCTGGGCGTAGGGGCTCACACTTGTAATTTCCACACTTTAGGAGGCCAAGGCAAGTAGATTACTTGAGGTCAGGAGTTTGAGACCAGCCTGGAGAAGAGATGTGAGCCACTTTACCCAGTCTGTTTTTTCTTTCTTTAAAAAAAAAAAATGATAGGGATTTTTATGGGTATTTTGTGAAATCTAAATCACATTGGTTTTTATAATCATTTAACAATATGAATGCTTCCAATCCATTAAAATGGTTGTATCTCCACTTAGTTTTTTTGATCACTGTTTGTAGATTTCAAGGTACAAGGTTCTCACTTTCTTAAATTTATTCCCAAGTGTTTTGTATTTTAAGTTGTCTAGCAAATGGAAGTGTGTTCTTAATATTCTTTTAAAATTATTGTTAATATATGGGAATTCAACAAACTTTTCATGCTAGCTTTTTATACTGCAAGTACACTGAATTTGTTTATTAGTACCAGTAGTATAGTATTTTTGTTGATTCTTTTTGATTTTCTTTTTTTCTGTTTTCTTTTTTCTTTCTTTTTTTGAGATAGAGTTTCCCTCTTCTTTTCCTGGCTGGAGTGCAATGGCACAATTGTAGCTCACTGCAATTTCCCTGTCCCAGGAATTCAAGTGATTTTCCTGCTTCAGTCTCCCAAGTAGATCAGATTAGAGGTGCTGCCACCATGCCCACCTACTTTTTTTGTATTTTTTTTTTCGAGATGGAGTTTCACTCTTGTTACCCAGGCTGGAGTGCAATGGTGCGATCTCGGCTCACCGCAACCTCCGCCTCCCGGGTTCAGGCAATTCTCCTGCCTCAACCTCCTGTGTAGCTGGGATTACAGGCACATGCCACCATGCCCAGCTAATGTTTTGTATTTTTAGTAGAGATGGGGTTTCACCATGTTGACCAGGATGGTCTCGATCTCTTGACCTCGTGATCCACCCGCCTCGGCCTCCCAAAGTGCTGGGATTACAGCTAGTGCTCAACTTACGATCATGATTGGTTCCGACAGACTGGTCGTAACCCGATTTGGTCGTAAATTGAGTAGGCTATATGCACGCGGAGATGGTAGTGCTGCCGGAAGCTGGCCCGCACTGTCGTACGCCCAGCTGGGCAACGTTTGCGCTGCCAGATGCGGAGCAGTCGTGGCTAGCGATTGTGGTCGTAAAGTCGAATGGTCGTAAGTTGCACAGGTCGTAAGTTGATCAATACCTACCTGTACAGGCTTGAGCCACCGCGCCCGGCAGGGTTTTTTTTTTCTGTATTTTTAGTAGAGACTGGATTTCACCATGTTGGCCAGGCTGGTCTCAAACTCCTGACTTCAGGTGATCCGCCCACCTCAGCCTCCCAAAGTGCTGGGATACATGCATGAGTCACTGCACCCATTCTGTGATTTTCTGCATAGAAGATCATGTTATCTACAAACAAATATACTTTTACTTCTTTCTTTCTGACTTAGATGAGGGTTTTTTTTTGTTTTTTTCTATTCCATTTACACTGCAAAATGTATTTTCTCTGTTTCCTGAAGTAAATTTCTTTTTTTTTTTTTTTTTTT